TCGCATTTGAGGTTTAATCACCGGGCCTGAGGCAAATAATTGTTTTAGTATTTTTACACAACTTCTTTGTTTTTACACAACTTTCCACAAAACGGCTAGCCGCCATTTTGCAAATAATGGTTTTGTTTATATATTCACCTGTAGGTGAATATTTATCATTTATAGACCCTCCGTTCGGGGGATTCGGCGGAATATTACCCGAAGTACAGTGATGATATCATCACTGATGGTAATAGTTCTACGAATCCCCCGAGCGGAGGGTCTATAAATGATATATTATACCGAAAGTTAAAGAACCCACCAAGTTCACAACAAACTTTAAAACTTCACTTGAAAAGAATACAATATCTAATTCCTTATGCATACCTTAGTTTTTGACATATTCTCTTTAAAATGTTTGAGCATGTATCCTTTCGATCATGGAAAATACTATTTCGCTGACCTCAGAATGACATTTCGTCAAAACGTTTTCTTCAAGATTGGTTTAGAAACAAACTTGGAGTAGGGTTAGGTTAGAAATAGGGTTGGGGTTATGATTAGGGTTAGAGTTGGTGTTTGAAATAGGGTTAGTGTTAGTAAAACAGTTGCTTGGTTACGTTTTATCACTTTGACGCCAGCGAAATAACCTCTTCCTTGGATCATTGAAGGTAACATACGTCTTTAAAATTTTTGGTTAACTTAAATCTATAAATTAATCTTCTGGGGCCGGTTGTATCAAAGGCGTTTAACTCGCTAACCACCGTTTAACTCGCTATCCGCCGGATAAAATTTAAACGCTCGAGAAATCGCGTTGTATCAAGCCCGTTTAGGGCTATCCACCGGTTAAATTTTGCCTATCCACCGTGTAAACTTATACGGTCTGTTGAGACCGTTAAATCGCTATACGGCGGATAAACTCGGAGTTTGAAGATAAAACAATGATTATTTCGGATGAAAAAGCATGGGATAGTTATAAAAATGCACAATCATGTGGAGGAGTTATCTTTTTAAATCCAATAAACATGAAAAACTCACTTTAAACTGGCTTGGTCTTGAGGTACACTGAGGTCACTTGCTCACTTGTAATTCCGTGGCTTTGCTACATTTACGCATACCAGTGTCATGT